TCTTCTCTTCACGGAAGAAGCTTCCAGCTTCCGTGTGGTTGAGAGCAGAGCGTTTACCTGGTTGTGTGAGTGTGAGGAGGCTATCTGGGCTTCTAACTGTTCCTTACTCAGATTTTCCACCAAACCTGTGTTCTGCTCCACCCCTCACCTTCAGAAATTGGGTGCCTGGTGGGGGGGGAGCTTCCAAATCTGTAGTTTTTCTTGGTTCTGAGGCTTGAATCAGCTTCTTTCTTGTCCGCAGGCCTTCCGGTCCACAGGGCCAGAGTTCAGTTTCTCAGCTCGGTTAGGTCAATTACCCACCATCCGTGCATTTTCCATATTCTGAAATTTGGCTGACATCTGCACTCTGTGTTGACTCCTTTCCAGGACTCTTTGTCTTGTAGGATTTATTTTATGATTTTTTATTTCTTTACTATCATTTTGGTGAGGTTTGGGGAAGGAGCAGAAAGTCATGCGTGTCATGCATGACTTTCTGATGAGTGTCAGGCGTTTGATCTGCAAGTTTAACCATATCCTCAAATTTTTCAGTCTTCTCATTTGTAGGTTCTGTTTTTATGATTTTAGAATCCTCTATCCCTTATCACAAAAATATTCACCTACAACTTTTCCTAATCATTTTCCTGTAACCTAGTTTCTTTCAGCATAGGGTGAGAATTTTGAATCTAATTTTGTTTGCCCATAGTCGACTGTAACCTTACCATTAATAGAATAGTCCACCCTTTTTTCTCCTTGATCTGTGATGCTTCCGCCATTATTTTAAAAGTTTCCACATATGCTCGGGCTGTTTCTGGGCTTTCTACTTTATTCTGTGGATCTATTTGTCTGTTCCTGGGCCAAGAACACTTCTCTTGATTAGAATTGCTCTAAAAAAAAATCTCAGTACTTATTTCTGGATCTTTACTTTTCCATCTGAATTTTAGGATTGTTTTGTCAAGTTCTACAGAATATATCATTTAGGGATTTTAGTTGGAATAATAAATGCTTAGGTTAATTTCAGAATTTACGTCTTTGTAATTTTGAGCTTTTCCATTCATAAAAGTAATCTGACTCACCATTTACGCAGACCTTTTATGTCCTTAAATCCAGTTTTATAATTTTCTTGCACATATTTTATTTCATTTATTTCCAGGCAATGCACATTTTTGTTATTACTATGAATAGTGTATTTTTCCATTATATATTAAAATTAGAGATGGCTGGTTATAGGTACTCTGGTTTTTTTTTTTTAAAGATTGGCACCTGAGCTAACAACTGTTGCCAATCTTTTTTTTCCCCTGCTTTTTTTGTTTTCTCCCCAAATCCCCCGTGTACATAGTTGTATATTTTAGTTATGGGTCCTTCTAGCTGTGACATGTGGGACGCAGCCTCAACACGGCCTAATGAGCGGTGCCATGTCCATGCCCAGGATCCGAACCCTGGGCCGCAGAAGTGGAGCACAAGAATTTAACCACTCAGCCACGGAGCCGGCCCTGGATTTTTGTATACTGAACTTGATTCCAATAATTTTGCTAAACTCTTCTATTAATTCGAATATGTTTGTAGATTCTCTTGAATTTTCTTCACACATAATCATATCATAGCTAATAAAGACACATTTTTCTTTCTAAATCCAATAGCTCTTGTTTCTTTATTTTCCTTTTTTTTGTCTTGGTTAGGACCGCCAGCCCATTTTTTAATTGTTGAAGAGATGGGAGTCATCTTTGTCTTTTCATTGTTTGCAATGGGAATAGTTTTAACATTTCATCATTAAGCATGATGTTTGCTGTAGATTTCTAGTAAATGTCTCTCATTATGCTTGTAAAGATTCTATTGCTAGCTTTTCAAGGGCTTTTTATTTTCTATAAGTGATTACTAATTTTACCAAATATTTTTCTTTATCTATTGAGATGATCTTTCTCTTTTCTTTTTTCTACTATTTCTTTTCGTACTCTTAAACTGCTAATGTACTATAATATATCAATAGATTTTCAGATTTTGACGATCTCTGCATTGGCCTTGTCTTTGTTTTTACACTATTGGATTCAATATGCTAAGTTTTTTCAGCTCGATTCATAAGTGTACTTAGCCTAATTCTCTTTTTTTATGTACTGTCTTTGTTGTTCAATTTTTCTATCAACATTCTACCAGTCTGATTTTATTGTTTTATAAACCCTGAGTTTCTGGAAATATTTCATTTGAGTAAAAGAAGGGGTGTTGTGGTGAGGATGGTTGTTCTTCTGCCTTTTAAAATGTTTGAAATAGCTGTTCTATTCAATAAAGTAGGTATGTTAAGCTGGAAGAATGTATATTTTTTGTGGAACGAAATGAAGTGATTTTAATTCTGAATGAAAAATTGTGGCCTACTTTTACTCTTCACAAATTCACACACGAGCAAATTATAGTTGCTCACTCCTGATCTACATGATTGAAAATACTCAGAACTGAAAAAAGTGCAACAAATCATCCAGATGTTTCCAAATGTTTCTTTAGATTTCTTCTGGTATGATTAGGTAGATATATCCTATGCTAGACAGGCTGTTCTTTATCTGGGATGATCCAAGTGGGAAACATATTCTGCAGAAATTTTGTATATAAATTCTGTGTATTTTTAGTGTTGTTTACAAAAGACTTCTGGGAAAAGTAAATATTATGAAAGTAAAGTTTCCCATGGCAGAGATTGGCAACATCTACCTTTTTTCTTTCTTTTTATTCACTTTCCTTTCTTTTTTATTCCTGCTTATTTAAGAAAAAAGTAAAAAGACAATGAAAAAAGAATTCTTCTATATTGTGGTATATAATACATGAAACTTGTTAAATTATTTTTCCAAATATATAGTTCCTCCACAATACGTCTATTTTCAACTGCACAGAATAGGCTGAACGGTTGCTCAGCCGCTATAGCCTGTATGTGAGGGATTCAGAATTTATCTAGGGAAACATACTTCTCTTTTCTAAAGACATAATCCCAAAATATTTAGCCATTTATCTTCTAAAAACCGTGCAAAACGTATGTCCTTTCCATGTTTCCTGCTGATAATATTTTCCCCATTTGTGCCACAACTTTTGTTTCCTTTGGGAAGCTGGTACTTATTTTATTCATAGATTGCAAATTATGCCCTGATGCTGTTCAACCAAAGGGCATTACTCATACAAGCCGAGAAGGCTGCTTAGGATATAATTGGCAGTGGCCATGGAAAACAGTGCATTAAAAAAGACCTCCCTGCCATATGGACCATTCTGGAGATCACGAGCCGCAAACATCTCTGGAAACAGGTCATATCTTCACATGGACATCTCTGATTGAATTGTTTTCAGAACTCACTAATCTCTGCTTTACAGTGTCTTCAAGCTTAGCAGTTTACCAGACTAGGAAGTATTATTCTATCTTTACTACCTGTCCAGATACGGGACGTCCCCAGCAGCAAAACTAGTTGTGTTCCAAAAGTTTATTTCCAAATCATTTATTTGGGATCAGAAAACATTTTCCCAGAGGAACCATATTATAAACGGTGGTGTTCCACAATCGCCTGGTTGAGCCACGGCGGACTTGAAATGCAGCATTGACTGTACTATTCCCACCAGCCACTATTTATTCTGTTTCCTTGGGAAAGTGCATTCTGAGTTCTAACTTGGGATGCCTGAAGCTCACCTCTCCCTCTGCCTGGCAGCCTTCCTTGTAGCTTTTTTAGGCTGTGCTGCAGTGGCAGTTAGAAAGACGGGATGAGGGTAGCCTTCTCAAGAAAGAGATGAGTACTGGGTTGATACAGATGCCTCTGGGTACTAGTTAATGCTGGAAGGCTGGAGAAGGAACCATCCATGTGGATCAATTACTTCCCAAGTCTTCTGAATGAAGCACAAAGGCAGGGACTTTTTCCTAAGTAGAGATCATTTTTAAGTCAAATCTTCATCAATAAGGAAAGGCTTATACAGTAAAACCTTAGATTTTTGAACACCAAGCTTCTGGACTTGTAATTACCCAGGGAAAATATTTTAACACTTGGTCAGTGATGAAACAGTCTCCAAACACCTACAAATTATTGACATAAATCTAGCACCTAGCCCTAGGCCTGACAGATAGTAAGTGCTCAAAAACAATTTTTTGTTGTTGCATTAAGTAGAGATTGACTAATTGAGTGAATTCTATATTGAAAGTACAAGACTACAGATTATATGCACATGGGCTAGTTAACTTCATTCTAATTCAGCATCTCTTAATTCTGACCCGCTCATAGCACTCATCCTACCAATGAAGAGTTGGTTGGAGTACTTTTAAGAAGTCACTAGACCATCGGTGCCATCTCTGTGGGCATATGCATCTGTCTGCATCAGCCCCAAAGCAGGTGCTAGGTCTCTTCACTCCCTCTCTCTCGTCCACAATTTCTAGCAATATCTGCCTGTTGCCAAATCTGAAGAAATAAAGAGGAGAGAGAGAGGGAGGGGACGTAGAAAACCAACGAGGATACCAGACCCGTAGGACCCTGCCCAGCTGGATTTCTGGCCCTATGCTTATTCTGGAGAATGTTAACCTTCTAAAAAAGACCTAAGCTTTTTTTTGTGGGTTGTTTTTATAACACATGGAGACATATTTTAAGAGGCTGTGCCTCTTTCAGGTTACAACGTACACCAGACCTGGGTCCTGGGCCATTTCGGGCTTTAAAATTACATAATAATTTAATTTTATTTTGTATCTACAGCTACTTTTAAAAGAAATACACTATTAAGGCTCCCTCAGTTAAAAAACCGTCCCCTCCCCCACCCCAATAAACTTACGCACTGTTAACTTTTAGTTTCATAAACGGTGCTTTCTTTTTAAAGTTCCATTTGTGTTCTACAAGACAGCCCCTTGCTCCAAGATTAACATTTCTTATGATTGTTCCTGACAATGGATTCACTTCCAGAGGCCCTGCTAAGGATAACCAAAAAAGGGCATGTAGCAGGCTGGTTTTGGCAGCCTGCACGCAGTTTCAGAGCTTTTTAGGTCTTGGTTTTTCTGATGAGTGACTTCCTGAGCATGCCTAGGGAATGACAGGCATCTCCACAGGCAGGCTGCATCCACCTCGGCCGGGGTGTCGTCATTGGCTGCCTATTAGAAAAACGACAGGACAATGCATACCACCGAAGGCCGACTGTAAACATAGGAGATATGTGTTCACTTAGCATGGACTTCTGGGAGGGGCTAAGGAAGGGCGGTCTGGAGTTTTATTGAATAGAGCAGTGTGTATTAGGCTGCCTGCCTGCCTGCCCTCTTGCTGTGCTCCTGCTTAAAGAAATCAGTCCTTCCTTTCTGACTTAGTCCCGGGACGAAGTTACAGCCTACGAGGTAAGGCACAGAGGGTTTTCTTTTCACCGCTTCCGCAGAGTCTGGGGACTTTCTCTGGGTTCCAGTCAGCATTCCTGGCCAGGGTAGCTGGAGATGCAAGATTGTAAAAGCCACTAAACCATGCAAATGCTCAGAGCCAGACTGGGCTTCGCTGCCCTGCAGATGTTCCCGGAAGACAAACAGGATGAGATTTCAAGTTTTGTTCTTAGAGTCGGGACGAGAGGAGAGATCACAGAGAGGCTTATATTCAGGGAGTACCGGTGACTCTGATCAGGATCACCTTTTGTTTAGGAGCGCAATGGGGATCATACCTGGGCGGCACAGGCCAGTGTCAGTAGGCGTGCTGTGCCAGTCTGCTCACACCAGCGATCTCTCCTGCATCTTTTATTATCAGAGATTTAAGAAGGTTTTGCTGTAAAAACAACAATAAGTTTCAGGTTGATGAGAAGCCATAAAGATGATGATTTTTAACCAAAGGCATTTACATTTTATTCTGCTACCAGTATTTAAGACTGGACTTCTAGAGCTGCAAGGAAATAAAGTCAAAGGTGGAAAGAGCATCGGCATTTAGCTCCGATTGGGTGAATATAACTGGTTTGATATTTGCTAAGACAGAAGATGCCTACCATGATCTGTTTCCTATAAAGCCTAATAATGAGAGAATGCATGTGCTAGTGGGTGTGTATTTAGAACCCGAATTTAACAACCTACCAAACTGTTTTTTAAGAAATCTCATTTTCTGTTTGAAAAATGTACTTGAGTGTGACTAGAGAATTAGAGAAGATGTAGGTTGGAAGCGTGTTCCAGAAAGGGAGGAAACAGGCTTTTATTTCAAGTTAGTCGGACATATTTGGGCATCTTAAACAGTAGGACAAGGCAGCTAGTTGGTAGTAGCCTGGAATTCCTTTTAGAAAGAGCTGATTGTAAAGGGCGGGGGAATTTTAGTGCGGTGCAATACATGGTCAAAAAAAGTAGATGAGAACAAAGTACTTGGTATTCATAGATCTCTTCTGTTAACAGGGCTATGCAGACGGACTTGTAAACTGAAATAGCAAATCCTTCTAATGTGTTTGGCGAAACCAGACATGTATGGCTAGACTATAAGTGAAGACTAGGTGGAATGTGGCAAGAAGGGCAAATCTGATCATTTTTTCATAATCTCGGATATTAAAGGTTTCCAGCTCCAAATGACTGACTCAACTTGATTTTATTCCATGGAGTGAGTTCTGTGTTGGGATTCATTAAATAATCTTTTGTCTTTGTATTTAGAAATTTGGGGATAATATTCTTGAGAATGCCTCTCTCGCCTTCTAGCAGTGATATATGAGAACAGAATTCCCTGTGAATTTCTTTTCCTGGAACAGTTCTGAGTAAGTGTGAGAGAAAGGCTGCAGGCGAAAGCCATAGTTTGATTATTGTCCTTCCTTCGAAGAGATCAAGTTCCAAACTATTTTCACAGTGTTTTTAATGTCAATCAAAATATGGAGAGCAATTTCTTTTTCAACCGTTCTCTAAACCATGTTGGGAATGCAGTTTGGAAGGAAATCTATAATCTTGGGATTTGAGGATAAATTCCAGTTTGAAACCAACATCTCCAAACCCCTGAAGGTTCGAACTTTGCTCCCACTCCTCGCTCCTCTCCTCCTCGTGTGCTCCCCACCCCCCGACAACCACAGAAACACATTTTTCCAAATAATGCTTTAAGTGTTCTACTCTCTGTGGTGATGGAGCAAGGGGACTGGATATTTTACTTTATGTTGAACTTGAGGCAGCTCTTTGTGCTACCTTCCTCCTATTGAATAGTAGCTGGAACACATCTCTCCAAACAGGGGGGCAAATGGAGCACAAGGAAACTGCCCCACAAGAACTTTCATTTTACTCAAAGCAGTTCATAAAGAGAAATACAATGGCAAAAGTCCGGAGCAAAAAGTCACTAATAAAAAGTTGGTCTCTGCACTCATAAGGAAGGCACAATGGATTGATCCATTGGTAACTTGCTGGGTTGTTTCCATTGTTCAAAGCCAATAGAATGTGCAATTTAAAAATTTAGATCATATAAGCAAATTTTAAAGCAAATAAGGCATTTTAAAGCAAATAAAGATTGCTTTAAAAGAATACACAATTCTTGCATTATGGTTCAGAGAAGGAGAACCAGGTTTGGACCTCAGCTTAACGGATTTAAATGAGATATGTAAAAGCAGGTCCTCGCAGGCTATTAACAATTCTGATTGACTCCTGTGACTGGCCTGAGGAACTCCTGCTCTGGGTCAGATAGAATAGGTTGATGCTGGGTCCAGTCACAGAAGGTTCCAGAATCCTGCCTGGGTGTTCTCTGTTCTGATGAGTAAAATGCACCTCACAAGGCCTTTTCTTAAAAACACATGTAGCTCTCTCCAGTTGTCATTTTCCTGGTAGCATGGTTACTAGTTATTCTTTCTAGCAAGACAAAAGAGTGACTTAGAGATGGACATGACAAGGGATTAGCTAGTCCCCGAGTTCTGCCTGCAGTCTATCACATGTCTCAGAAACGTGGTGGGGTGAGGCCATTGGGTGGGAGTGGGGGTGGCAGGGGAAAATGCTGACAAAGTGGTATGCAAATAGCATGGTAGGACTAAGGAGGAGGTTAGAAAGATGCTGCCAAAGAATTTTCAGACTTTGAAAAAGAGTTTTCTGGGTAAATTCTCTCAAAGCCTGAAAATAGAACCCCTTACCAAAAGTCCTTCATCTGTCCAGCTAATCCACTAATCCAAGTTTGTTACTGGAGAGATGCCCATAGGTTCTGAGTAGTTGAGTAATTTAAAGAGATGCTTGCAGCTAAGGCTTCACTCGGGAGCCCCACTATGAGAGCTCAGTCCCAGCACTGGTTCCTCTATTTAAACAGCCAGACCTTTGAGGAAGTCCTCAACTCTTTGACCTCATCTGTGGAATGGGCATTCTTACGCTTCTCCTACCTCCCGTAGTGGTTAAGGTGTCCAAATGAGATGAGGCTGTTTGCCCCTCTTCTCTGTAGACCCTATACTCCAAACTGCCTGCTATTTGAGCCCTCTGGACATTATGCTCATCTTGGCTGGTATCCTCCACTTCTTACCTAGTATCCTTAATTATCTGCTCCTCCCTCATATTTGAGGACCCTTGAGTGGTACCTTCTGGATCCTAGTTCTTTCTGGAATCCTGAGCTCAGGATCCAGGGAATACTGGTCTACCCCAATGTTGTCTAAATTTTGGTTTTGATGATCAGAGGCCAGGAGGACACCTGTATCAGGAGGCAGAATAAGACAAGTTGTTAGTGGTGTGAGGCCATATCCAGGAACCAGGAAATCTGAAGATCCAGTTGAGCAGAAGACCAATGACAAGGTGCTGACAACAGAAAGGCCTTAGTAAATGAGGCAGCTTCTCTGCCTCCAGCCAAAAGCATGGAACTAATCCCAGCATGTCAAGCCTGGGCCTCGTAGGGAGGGTGAGGTAATCAGGAGCACCTGGCTGTGGTTCCTGTTGGTATTGAGACCAGACTGCTCCATGTATCCGGCCTCTCACCTCTATTTGCCTCAGTCTTTAGTATCCCCAGCTGGCTCTCCTGTAACCAACCCCTGGTGGCATCGCTAAATTCCCTACCCCCCGTTCTCCACCTCTACCTGCTTCCCTAGCTCCTGCATCCCCAAGCCAAACATGAGGTTTTCCTGATCCAGTATCAACAATTCACAGTGACCCAGCTCTAGGATGAGACCCAGAGAACAGCAGAAGGGTCAAGCCTAGATATGTTTGAGACAGGGGAAAGCCTCTGCATGTTTTTAGCCAGAAGGAGAAAAGTTAGAGCAAACAGAGTAGATGTTAAAGCAATTTCTGTGGTCAAGAGCCACCCTGATTTTCACCCCCAAACTCATGACTGGCTGGTGGTGGGCGAGCGATGTGAGAGGAGGGCAAGAAGGAGAGGATGACTGTGGGCTGTGCGGAAGGGGTGATGGGTTGGCCCTGTCAGTTGTTCTTCCTGTGCTGTTGTTGCTGTGGACACCTTTGAGAACCTGATAAAAACTCGAAATAAACCCTTCAGGTCCTTTGTGAATGTATCCTTTGTGACTGGCAGATGGGAAACCTTTGAGGAGCCCTTAAGCTGGGGGAGGTGGGATGGGGAGTGAGGTCAAGTCTTGATTCCCATTGGAGACAAGGGCGGACAGGATCAGAACATGAGTGGAGGTGTCCTTTCTTGCTTCCCAGATTCTTTGGAAGGAAGAAAGGATGGTGTAAATATGCAGATACATAGAAGGAGAAAACTTCATAATGCCTCCTTTTCAAGGAAAAGGTGATCGTCTCTAGAGAGGCAGTTTTCTACGGGGAGCTTTTAGCGGCTGAAGTTAGGAATGGCTGCTATTAAGCGTAAACTAAGAGAGCACGGAGAGCTTAATAAAATGATTGCGAAGCAGCAGGAAGGGAATAGTTGAAGGAAAATAAATATATATATATATTTGGATATTTTAAGTGAATTGAGTGTTCTTAGTAAGCACTCATTTTAGTACATGGTTTTTCTTTCTTAAAAAAAAAATCGATGGATGGATAACTTGAGGATAAATTGCTTTTTAATTGTTTCCTGAGGCTTCTGGCGTTGTTTAGTAAATATGAGGATGAAAGCACTTGACTGCAAGGAAATCATCTCACTTGAAGAGGGACCTATTAAGTAGGAATATATAATCAGTTCCTTTTACACCCACACGTAACATCCCCTCTCGCTTGTCTCAAGCTGGGGAACTAGGCAGATTTCACCTGTGTACTAATGATGGTCAGTACCAGGGCAAAGGGCCTAAGGGGCCCAAGGGCCAGAAGCATCAAAGACGTTAGTTCCGCTGGGGTCCGGAGGGTCTAAGCCAGAATGGGTATAAACTACAATAGGCTAACATGTGAATTACAGCCAGGTAAGTAAAAGAGAAACAGCAAAAATCAGAAGTCAGGCAGAGGTTTAAAAACCAAGAGCTTGCTTAGCAAGGCAGTATAAAGACAGGTATGGTGAC